CACTTGAGGAGGAGGGTGATATAAATGAAAGAAAAGTAATGTCTGTTAGTGGTGGGTGTGTGTAGGAGCAGATGAAAGTGAGCAAAAAAGAAAGGGTGGGGTTGGGACTGGTTTGGCTGTTTGCTAGTTTTTTTTTTGGTTTTTTTGGTCGAATGCTGTTTATAATTGTAGATCTAACTTTAGCACTGTGCTATTTGTGCCAGTATCTATACAATGTGGATAAAGTTGGTGACGATTAGCAAAATAGTATCAAGAACAAATCATTCATAGGGAAATTAAGTTTGCTTTACGAGATTGCAATTTGCAAGTACGAGTTAGGTCAGTTATTCATAGTAGTGAACTTGTTTCTTTGCATCCAAGTGAATTCACTTTCATTTATACCATCGGAGATTCGGATGTGTGTATATATAAAATAAAATAAAATAGCTTTACGAGGCTTAGACGTCTATGTATCTCATGTGTAAATAATGTTCTAAACCCTAAAGTCGAGAAAGCATTTGGGTTCCCAAGTCTAGCAAAAAATCAAACATGCTTAAATAACTCATAGGCTAATAGAAAATTCATCGATTTTGAGTATTTGTGTGCAACTTTTTTCTTTCATTCCTTTGCCCCCTTTCACTAATGTAATTCATCAACTGGGTTATCACCCACTAATAATTTGTTATTACCTAGACGACATTGAGAACCTTGGAAAGACGAAAGTAACGATTCCATCATCTTTGACTGTTCTCCAAGCCTTAGGAAAGCGAGAAGTTCGAAGCCTAGGTATTATTTTAACGCAGTGGAATCGACTTTAGACATAAAGCACAAGAGTCATTGTTGCCCTGCAGAAAGTGAACAAAAGACTTCTCACACTAGGAACTTTTCAAGTTATCTTTCTTTGATGTGCTTTCATTATTTGGTTCATTTCCAGGTTGGTTGGTTCTAACTTTGCCATTCATTTGCCAAATTGTTGTGTAATTAGCTAACTGTTTATCTTCTTCTGCCTATGTCCAAGTCTTGATAGCTGATACTGAACCTCAAACTTAATAAAATACAGGATCAGTTCAGAGACTCAAAGGAAAAGGGTATGCCGTAAAAACAGTATAGCTCTTGGAATGGGTGGTAGTCCGTTTATGAAAAAGACCTCTGCGCCCATGCTAGCTGATGGCAAGAATACCAGCAAGTATGAGATTAGAGCCGGTTACAGCCAAGCTGAAAGCTTGAGCAATATTAGTTATATATACCTGAAAATCCACCACCATTAAAAGAAAATCTATCGGAGAGCCTTTTCCAAGCAAGTTGGGCATGATGTCTCAGTGCACTTCTCGCCGGAATGACCGCGAAACTACTGGAATAATTTCTCTGGTAAAAACTGTTGGCGGTATTGTACACTGAGAATGGGGTATTTCCTCTAGCAGGAAACGTAGTCCCTGTAGAATCTATGTTGGGGAAGACGGAGGCCAACTCGAACAATTGTCCCATACTTGTCCGCTTCATATTTCAAAAGGAAGAGCACCAACTATAAACAATTACGCCAATTCCAGAGTATCACCCAAATTATAGCGATTGAATCATCAGAAAATAAAAAATCCGCCTAGGCGGGTCTAGGCGGTTTTTTTTTTCTTTTTCTTTCTGACTTTAAAGAAAACCCTCAGGCTGTCGCCTCCTTTACCCTACTCCAGCAGCCTCACCATCCCCAGAACCTAGCAATTTACTTTCACATTCCCTCTCCTCCATAACCACAAAGTGAGAGAGCCAAATGGCTGTTCTTCAAGACCAGAAACAGAGGTCCTCTTGCCCACCAACATCCAAGGTCCACTCTTTCTTTCTCTCTCTAAGATATGTTTACGGTTTTGCTGGCAAACTGAGTATTTGACTCTTTTATAATTTATTTACAAATAATTTGCAGAGTAATAGGGGAAGACCACCAAAGAACAAGGAAAATCTGTTTAGGAAGAATTCTTCATCTCTCACTCAGTCACTGATGACTAAAAGCATTGTTAATAAAATCTGTTTAGGTTGTTTCTTTTAAAATATTTGATAGGGTTTTGTGTTTTGATTAGTTGATTAGGAATGAAAGTGCTATTGCTTTAATATTTCAATGTAAGTTTGTCTAAAAAACAATTTTCAAACTTTTACACAATGAACCTATGGCCTAAGAATTCTGAATCCGCCACTGCTTAGACATGTACCGTAGGCGCAATACGAGTTGCACGCGTATGTAAAAGCCTCTCTCTCTCTCTCTCTCTCTCTCTCTCTCTCTCTTTTATATTTTGAAAGCTGCTGCTTCTTTCTTTTTGTATGATATCTTACTTGTCGTTTATAAATGAAATTACGATTACTATTGTTATTGTAATTATTGAAGGGAAGGAAAGGGCTTTGAAAAGAGAGGAATTAAAGATTTATTTTATACCAGAAAGGACATATGTTAAAGATCACTTTATCATCTTATAATTATTCTAAGTTATGCAACCATTTGGTATTCTTTCTTATTGAAACAAAAAGACCAAAAAAAGTCGATCCTAATTCCTGTTCTGTTTGTATTGGCAAGCACATCAGCCCCTTTTGTTAATCAAAGATTCAAGACCATCCAGGGGAGGGGACTGGGGGACTGTCCTTTTTCCTTGGCTGCTTTGCTTTGAGATCCTAAAAAGCATATATGTATATGTATATGTATGTATACATACATCCAGTTTTTCAATTGCATAATCATGAGCAGAACATCATTCTTTTATCGTGATTGATTACTTTGTTGAACATGTTCCATGCATTTCCTTTGATTACCTTACCTTCACCCACCCACACCGCACACACAGAGGCAGAGATAGAAAGGCTCCATTAACAAACTCTAGCTAGACTGTAACCCCCCAAAAGCATGTAGTTCTTAAGAGCTTGAGAGCCATTCTCATGTCTCAACAGAACTTCTACTAGAGCAATATCCAGATTTTTGCAATTCATTTCAGTGCATGTTTCTGGTCCATAATACTCAAGAGTACAAAACCCGTATATTATACAGAAAAAAAATAGTACAAAACCTCTATATTCACCAAAAAAAAGAGAAAAAAGTACAAAGCGTATGCTCACCTAAAGCTTTGCAAACACTAGGAAAAGTGTGGCTCCAGCCTACAGACTGGTGTGACAAAGTTTTGTTGACCAACAACACTTTGAGTTGTCTCTGCAAACACCTCAACATGAGGGAAGATCTTTAGGGGGAGGAAGCACACACTGAGATGCTCTTGGACCATTTTGGACAATTAAGCCTGAGGCAAGACCCCAGGAAGTATGCTCTTCAAGATGACAATGAATGAACCATACTCCTGGGTTGTCGGCCTTGAATCGAATTGCAGCCCATCCTCCAGTTGGAACTGCCACTGTGTTTCTTTCTGGAGGGTCAATTAGATTGTATTTTGCTGGATCCTTGGCAACATTGAAGTTCCCAAACCCCCTACCGACTATGAAGAAGTTGTGGCCATGGATATGAATTGGATGGTTCTCCACATTAAGAAAACTTGTACCCTGCAGCACAATTTCTAAATTTGTCCCATAAGGGACTTCCAAAATTTTTGTACCAAATTGAGTGTTCATGTTCTCTGATACTGTATCCACCCCTGTATAATCAAATGGCTTTAAAGGCTTTTCTGGGAAATCAGTGGAGTACTCATTGTTTCGGAGTTTGTTGTAATAAGATTCCAATATTGACATGGAGGGACGGACAAAGGACAGGTTGTTCATTGAAGCAAAGAATCTCTTGCCTTCATACCCCTTGCAGGTTTTGTTAGCCGGACAGTCTTGAAGGTTAAGGCTTACAACTGTCACAACTCGCTTGTCGATAGTTTTAGGCACAGTGCATGGATACTGAGGGGATGCCAGGCTTCTGAGCTTGTCAGAAAATTTAGTCACAAACTTGGTGTCTTCCATTTTAGGAAGGTTGTATTTGTTTGGTTCAAAAGTGCTAGGCATCTTCTGCAGATGCTTAATGTTTTCAGTCACTGTGTTTTTGTAACGCAAGAAGCCAGCTGTGGTAGAATTATCGAAAGGAAAAATGGAAGTGAGATAAGGCCAGGCTGCCATTAGAAACGTGCCAGAGGAGTCAGGAACTTGATTTGCAGTGAGCAGAACATTGGTAGTTTGACCAGGAGCTACCATAATGGCTGTGGCTGTGAATGGTTTGGTGTACACTGCATCAATCTCCACAACCGTTAATGTGTGGTTAACCACAGCGAAGAAAAGCTCATCATTGAGTGCTGCATTGATGATTCTAAGCAGGTAAGTTTTGCCACGTTCCACTGTTTTGATGAAGGTATCTGCAAAATCAATCATGTACTAATTAGTACAATCAGTTTTGATGAATTATAGACTATATTGAAGATTTTTGTCTCTTCTAGTTGGAACTTTAGTTAGAACTATGGAATGTGCTGCATAATTGTAAAGTGCAATCATGTAGAAAAGAGAAAAAAAAAAGTGGCGGAAGATTAATTCTTGGATACCTTTGTTGGAGCAAGGATAGAATGGTCCTGGCAAACCGTTTATGGTATAAGCATCTGAACTATTAGGCCCACCTCCATACTTCATCATTTCATTTTCCACTTCATCTACATCTCCATTCCACCATTCACCTGCGATCAAACATGTGAACAATTCAAGATACAGAGGTGAGAGTGAGAACAGAGCTTTCATGATCAGAATTACCAATAGAAAATCAGAAAACAAAGATGTATGGTTCAAACAATGAAGCGTTTTGATGTTATTACCAAATATAATGGGGAATTCATCTTGAATTGGAGCTGAAAATGGAAATGGCATCCGCGGATGGATGATAAAGGCGCCATAAACAGAAGCTCGTTGCCAAGCATAATGTGCATGCCACCAAAGAGTGCCTCTTTGGTATTGTACAGTGAACTTGTAGGTGTAGGACTTGCCACCTCTTATGGGACATTGTGTGATATAAGCTGGACCGTCTGCCCATCCTGTTCTTAGTTGCCTTATACCATGCCTGTCATAATTAGCAACAAATCAGTTGTTTCTTAATTAACAAAATTAGTGTCCAATACCAATACAATCACAGATTCACAATTAGTATTTATTGTAATCAAACTCACCAGTGGATGGTGGTGTTGTCTGCAATGTGATTAGTCACCTTAATTTCAACATTATCACCTTCATGGACAGCAATGGTTGGCCCAGGATACTCTCCATTCACTGTTAGAAGTGGCTTTGTGCTGCACAAACGGGTTACATTCTTCCACTCAACCTGAAAACCAGACCACAATTCAAGCTTTCAATTTCATACTCTGATTTCTATTGGTGATCACAGAATGCAAGAGAGACAAAATTTGACACTCTCTACTCTAGCTTACATTAAATTGAAAGCGTCGGGTTGTTTGCGAAAAACCAGATGGTAAAGCCCCAGCAAGTATCATTAGCATCACCACAAATAACCCATAATGCTGGATTAAACACTCCATAACTAGAACCTCAAGAGCAGCCTTGGGAGTCACTCAGTATATTGCATGCCCCAATTGAGTTTACCAAACTTTCATGCAAGCCCCCCCTTTTATATACATGCCTAACTTCTATTGGGTTACTTGATTTTTTATTGATTAACATTGACATATACTAATAAATTTATGTAGAGACAGATTTTGTGACGCTAGATGGGTAGGTGAGGAGAGGCAGCAGACAATGAACATGTCAAAATGAGTTTTCAAAGGGTAGAAATTTGTTCGAAAGCTTGGCTGCTATAGTTCATAATTATGTGTCGAAAACCTTTATCTATCAAGAAGAGGAGCCGACCAATATGGAATCTCTCTCTCTCTCTCTCTCTCATTATACCAGGAGTCTAGTCTTAAATATTAATTGTGGGATTTGTCATCTTTTAATCAACCCTGTTGTCAATTCCTTCACCAATTTTTGATTCTGATATATACGTATGGGTGGGTTGGTGGTGTGAGCTTTTTATTCAAGACAAACTTGGACTAACTCAGTAGTATCTTTGCATATCAGGAACAGCACAAAATCGTTGTAGTTCCCATGAGGTCAATGATTGGACTTGTTTGGACCACTGCAAACATGTGGCGAAGATCGAGAGACGGCAAGAGCAAGAAATCTTCAAGAGCAAGAAATCTTTAGGCAAATATATAAATTAATTACTTGCTCAGTCAGCCAGCCCCTTTTCACCAACTAAAGGTGAGCTAGCTAACATAAACTTCTTTTTCTCCAATAAAAATGGCAAGAATGAAGATAAGGGGGACCAAAACCAACTCATTACATATGCAAATTGATATTTGATAACCATTTGATTGGGATAGGCCATCAGGGCAAAGTGCTAAAGGAATCTATATGTATGGTGCTGGGGTTGGTTGAGTTTTCTAAATTGGTTTATTAATTAATTAAGCTACCAATTTTGAACAAAATAATAATTCTCCCTCCCCTACTAAAAGTAGTTAAATTCAGAGAGATGGGCCAGTGGTCCAATACTAACAACATCGATATTGTCCCCAACTTAACCATCTACAAAGTCCAGTGGGTGTGAGGTTTTATCACAAAATGCCTCGATGATATTAGTAGTAGAACCATTCATTATATCTTGTATTTTATCAAGTTTCCGATGTAGGACTTATATTTTTCAACGTAAGCCAAGTATTAAACAAGGCGGATGGCATTTTCTACAGAAGAGAGGATACAAATTGAGCTAAACAGCTTGTACTATTTTTCTGTCTTTTTCAATCCCATATATCTTTCAGACTTTTAGGAACATATATATATATATATATATATATATATATATATATAGTTTAAGGCCAAAAACTGCCAAAATTTTACAGCCTAAGAATCCTAGCTAGCTAACATGCTCTGCTATAAGATGCTTCTACAACCTAAACCGCTTCGCATTTTCTGTAAATCCAAATCAGTTTGCATTTCTTGGAGAGAGAAATGATCATTAATTAATTACTTATTAGGCGTCATGTTTATTTCTAATTCTCTGCTGCATGCTGCATGCTGCCACACTGGGCTGGGATGCATAAGTTTTCTTGGTCAACATTGGCAAACTGCGTTTCGATGCAATTTCTTTCTGTAAGTTGATCGTAGTCTCGGTATGAAGTCAGCTTCCAATTAACTTTATACTATAAATAAATATGATTTGGTTCTCTCAAAATGATACACATCTCTCGAGTTACTAAAATCTATAAGGTGGTTGACAGACTTTGACTTTGAGGGAGTTGAATTATCAATGCCATCGTATTCGTACGTGTATTACTCAACACTAATAAGAATATTTATGCATCAAATTTTTCTAGTCAGGATAAGCAAACTACTTTTCAAATCAATGACAGCCCCAAAACCAAAACGCTTGCCATGATAAAACTACTCAAACCACTCAAAGTTTCAATCTACTATGTGATGTGCAGCAGTAGGTCCCATCCCACTCCCAAAGAAGTTTATTCTTGGCAACATGCCAACGACCAACAAGTTTTATTTATTTTATTTTACATAAGCGATATTGAGGCAAGGATAAATACTCTTAACTACTTAAGCTACAAGTCCGTTGCAACGACTACCAACTTATGAAGTGACGAGTGTTAGATTTTTTTTTCTCGGTCAAGAACGAGTGTTATAACTTAAATACTAATTATTCATTAAATACTACCCCTTATTTGCTGATTGATCCCATTCGTTCTTAATTTACACAAGTCTCAACCTCAAACACAAGATCGTTTTGATATTTTTATTCAGTTTGGCATCCTACATTTGTTTCATATTTCATTGAAAAGTTGGCATTTAAATCTTTTCAGTAACAATTTATTTATGATAGCTTAAATGGAGCACAATTTTACGCATTACGTAGGCTTGGGCATAGAACCTTCAAAGCTCCAAATCATGTAGAAGAGAGTGGCAAGAATCGTCATCAACGAAAAACTAGTGCTGCAGCTGGGGATCTAGCATCATTTGCAGATGAGTATAGAAAATTGGCAATTGACTGCCTCAAGGTTTTACGTGTTGAGATGCAATTGGAGACAATTTTCCATAAGCAGGTATGTGAGATGTTCACAAGTACAGTCTAGTTTGAGAGCGATACCTGTTAGAATTGTCTTGCGATAAGAATAACGTCATAGGACTGAAAATTGTGGTTTGAACAAGGAATGACAAATAGGGAATGGAAGACCAGTGTGCGGAAGAACTAGATGATTTCATTATTTCACTTACTGCAAAGGTTAGCTCATCTCCAGCTTTAAAATATTGGAAACACTATACACTACTGCTTTCGTGTAACTTTTCTCTCTTGATTTGGAGGGAGATACTAAACACAGAAATGACTATACCCAGCTGCTTTTTTTAAAGGAAATAATTCATTTTTTAATAAAGGAATTAATTCCTTAAGAACCACTTTTTCTGAGCGCCACACTTTCTTGAAAATTAACCTTATATTTTATTTGTGTTTCTCTACCCATAGATAGCATGCAAAGATGAGAAAATGACACCTTTTGTTGCCGGAAGTGGAATTACATATTTGGTGGAATTTGTAGCAATGCAGCAAATGCATCCATCAAGGTACCTTCTATAGAATCTTTTGTTAGATCATTTGAATATATATTAATATTTAAATCGTACAGCCGGGCGGCTCTAAAATAAATTAATATGCAAAGCGTATAGCCGAGCGGCTGTACTCTTTAAATATACACACGAATACTTTAACGGTACAGCCGTGCGGCTATACTGTTAAAATATATTAATATTAAAATCGTATAGCCGCACGGCTATACGTCTAAAATATATTAATATTTAAAATAGTATAGCCGCGCGGCGGTACGCTTGAAATATACAGACGAATATTTGAATGGTATAGCCGCGCGGCTATACGTTTAAAATATATTAATATTAAAATAGTATATCCGCACGGCTATACTTCTAAAATATATTAATATTTAAAATAGTATAGCCGCGCGGCGATACCTCCAAAATATATTAATATTTAAAGAGTATAGCCGCGCGGCTATACGCTCTAAATATATACGAATGTTTTAACAGTATAGCTACTCGGCGATACTGCATAACAGGTTTTCATTTTTGTAATTAAGTAATATCTTTAGCCTTTTTTAATTACTTTAATTAGTAATTATATTTTAATTATTCTTTCTTTAGTGAATAATTAGTATTTAAATATTGTACTAATTTCATAAATTACTTAATAAATTGTAATTAATTATTTTAAATTATTTTGTGGACTTTATTTTTTAGTTTGTTTAGTTTAATATTTGTAATTAAGTAATATCTTAGCCTTATTTAATTATATTTATTATTATTTATGTTTTAAATTGAATGCCATTTTCATCAAGGTTGGTGATTCATGGTTTTGTTGTAGCACGTAGGCTTACAAACCAAATAACAACACAAGAGGAGGCCCAAATCACCAAGGACCCATAATTTGTGGGCAAATCCAATCAAATTGAGCTTTGGCGTGTTGCATGCTGCTGAGGAGGAGAAGCAAAATTTGAAGGAAAACAATGCGCGGGAGTTACCGTTTCAGACAGTTACACAGCAGCAGCTTCTGCTTACGCTCACTCGAAACCCAGCAACCCAGCAACATCAAGCACCAAACTGGAAATCCGACTTGCCCAAACCCAATCCCATCAAAGAAAGCACTAACCCAGAAACGCAGATCCATGAATAAGTTATCAAACGCCTCTGACTCTGAAATTGTCAAACTGAACAAGGACATTACCACCCAAATGCGCAATGGCCGATGTGAAGCGGCTCTGCGCGTCTTTAATGTCATGCCTCGGCGGAGCCCAGTATCTTATAATGCTATGATATCAGGCTACCTGGCAAATGGCAAGTTTGATCTTGCAAAGGATATGTTTGAGAAAATGCCAGAGAGAGACCTAGTTTCTTGGAATGTGATGCTTAGTGGGTATGTGAGGAATAGGGGCCTTGGTGCCGCTCATGCCTTATTTGAACGTATGCCTGAAAAGGATGTTGTTTCGTGGAACGCTATGTTATCGGGTTATGCCCAAAATGGCTATGTTGATGAGGCGAGGAAGGTTTTCGAAAGGATGCCAGATAAGAATGAGATATCATGGAATGGGTTGCTTGCGGCGTATGTACAGAATGGAAGGATAGAAGATGCTCGTAGGCTGTTTGAGTCGAAAGCCAATTGGGAAGCAGTTTCTTGGAATTGTTTGATGGGTGGATTTGTAAAACAAAAGAGATTAGTTCATGCTAGGCAGCTTTTTGACCGGATGCCTGTGAGGGATGAAGTTTCGTGGAATACCATGATCACAGGCTATGCGCAGAATGGGGAAATGTCAGAAGCAAGGAGATTGTTTGAGGAGTCCCCAATTCGTGATGTGTTTGCATGGACATCAATGCTTTCAGGTTATGTGCAGAATGGAATGTTGGATGAAGGGAGGAGAATGTTTGATGAAATGCCAGAAAAGAATTCGGTTTCATGGAATGCAATGATTGC